GCGATACAAATTAGACATGTACAATTTAAAAAACCGCGATAACAGCGAAACTCCGATTTGGCGAGATATGACTGTACTCTCGATCGCCGAAGAATATCTTCGGTAAGAAGATGTCTGGATTTGTCCTTCAAGACTTTTAGACTGCCATATTTTCACCTCGGAGGTTGCGGTTAGTCTGCCAGAATATCTTGTTTGCGGTTTGGAAATTTGACTCCAACATTTCACAACTTTTCCTATGAACCTTTGACTTTCGCTGCCGCCCTGCGCACTTTCTCATGCCGCATGCGAGCTGTTCAGATGACAGCCAGTTGCACCTCTCGTGTCCTTCAAGAAGTTCTGTTCTGACCTTCAGGCGGCAAGCCAACACGTTTCAATCCGTAGTATTCGGCGGTAGCCTCGAGTATGCCGCTCTAAAGGAGCATCCACTCCGTCTCCACATCAGTGGTCATCACCGGGATCTGTTCAAACCGTAGTGCGATGTTGTTTGCAAGCTTCGACTTCATATCCGCAGTGGATAATGTTTCCCACTGGACTCTCTGGTTGCTGCTTCCACCAGATCGTTGCATGGAACACCATCTGTCACAGCGTAATGTGCCAACAAAAAGGTGGTGATCGGCTGACAACTCTATCTCTCTTAACGCGAACATCCATTACAGAGAGTCGTAGGTCAGACGATACGAATATGAAATCGAGCATCGAGTTCTGTGCACAAACTTCCCTTAACCAGGTACACTGATACACGCTTCGATGTTCGGTGTTCATAATGGAGTGTTCGTTGTCTGCATAAAACCAGAACAACTTCATGCCATTATTATTACTACGGCCGTACTTTCCAATCACGTCTTTTCACTTTTCAATGTCTGCCCCTACACATGAACTAAATCGCCCATTACAATGTGTTTTGTAGTAGACACTTTCTACGTCCGCCAAGAAAGACACACAGTATCCCTCCAAACTGGGAGCATAGACCTGTAACAAGGCCAAAACTTCAGTCTGTTGTAACTTCATTCGCACGACTGCGACTTCCTTTCAATGTTTCTGCCAAACAGGTTGTTTTACCAGGACATCAACACCAGCCAGCCTGTATGTCGGATGGGTTGAATAGCTTCCACCAGCAGAAGCTCAGAATTCCAGAGCATTGGCCCCTCGTTGACGAAAAACGTCTGCTGTTTCCCTTTGAGCGAGGATATATCACAACATCTGACTCCAAACTCCCACTGGCGGTGTGGTGCCCATAGAGCCTTTTCTGATGTGCTATAATAGCATCGCGCCTTCTGCCTCCTTAGTTCCGAACGGGTAGAGACTCCGTTACTGACTAATATC